TCCAATGGCCCATTCCTTTCTTCAAAACCAAACATGGATATACCAAGTAGATACGTTATCTTTAATGAAAGAAACAGATGCCATAGTTAAAGGAAAACCATGTACCTAATACACTTCACTGTATAAAAACCCCAAAATTAAAAACAAAAATTTCACAAGTTATCTCAGGAAGGAAACAGTTCAGATTCATTTGTTTTTGTTAGCAATTCTACGGTTGGTAACACGCCCAAAGAACGTCCCACACAAAAATACTACACCCACAAGAATAGCAAATACTAACATAAAATAATTACTTGCTGGAGAAGTTTGCACATGGTGGTAAAGCTCTCCCATAGTTCTTGGAGGTACTCCAACAGCAGCTTCCTACATAGATAGAAAAAAAGAAAATGGAGTGTGATCAACAGGTACTACAGAGTAACAGGACAAGTTATCTAAGTCCAACTGACCTTTTTGGCAAAACTGAAAAGCTCCATTCTCTGAGAAAGCTTTTCATGGCAATCTCGCTGAAGAGAGCTCAAAGTATCAGCAAGATGCTCAGCTAGGCACTGTATCACTAGCAATAAATAGAAACATTTCAAATATCACTTAAACAAACAGAATCAGTGATAATTCAGGCAACTATTATTGATTAAAACAATCCATCTTACATCTTCCTGATCCTTGTTGGGTGTCTGGACAGAACTTATGTAAATCTATGGCACAGGCTTTATAAAGCAGTGGATCAACATGGATATCAGCCTGTCCTTCATCAATGAGGGCAACTATCTCAATACGACATGCTGCACTTGAAATTTTGCCATTACGCAAGGATTCTTTCAGGCACTCCTCAACTGCACCCTGCGAATAGCCCTCAGCCTCCTGTTCTGACTTTGTCCCACAAAGACTTTTTATCTGCAACAAAGAGTAAATATGAATATTGTGAATATATAGATAAAAAATAGATTGACTATAAGAGACACCATTTTGAAGTCCTTACTTCCGATTCGCACATCCTGCTTAGTAGTGGGTTGAGTTGATAGTTGAGAGCTGCCTCACGTAACACCAATTCCATTTCATTTTCACATTCTTTACGCAACTTGGCTGCACGAAACTTTACCTATGGTGGTAATTAGACAAAGGAAAGTATTCAGCTTTCTTTACACTTCAGAATAATAGAAGGAAATGAGAAAGGGAATAAAACAAAACAACATACCTTTAAACAAGCTATAACTTTTCCTTCTAGTTCTTCATCAGGGTTTGCATGATCAATAACCTTACCACAAAACTTTCTTATGTCTGGTTGACAGGATTTTCGAAGATCAGGATTAAGTCGGTAATCAAAACTTTGTTCAATCATGCGATGAATGACAATTTTACGACAGTCTTCATTGAACACAGGGTCATCTTTGTTATGCTGATTGAGAACAAACATTTGCACTTAAAACAACAAACAACTTCACTGTAATGCAGATTAGAACCGAAAATACCTTTAGACATGTGAGTATGCGTTGTTCTGGTTCATTATGACAGAATGTGTTTATCATACTTTTACAATTAAGCATGAGAGAATAATCTACAGTATTATATGCCAGCTCCTGTTCAACCTTGAATACTGCTTTGTGGCAGTCTGGACTAAGTATCTTGTGGTTTAAACGTAAACAATCAAGTAGCTTTCCAGCTCCAGGTACAACTTTGGAACAAATTTTAGAAATATCAGCAGAGCACACTTTTTTTAATTTTGGATCAAAATCTAAACTCTCTCTTTGCTGAAAAAGCTGTGCCTTTAGTTGCTGTCTACATTCCCTAGGAATTCTGTGTCGAGATTCATTCATAGTATCATTTCTCACAACTTCGCTCAGACAAGATACAACATCATACCTATCCAAACAGTTTAAAGAAAAAAAAGGAGATTAAATCATCTATCTTTACCTGTCTTCTAAATGGTATAGGACTATATTATTTCAGGAAAAACATAGAACTTACTTTGTTTTGGAAGAGGGACAAAAGCGCATAACAAAAATTCGACATGCCTCTTTAAATTTGTAGGTAAAGTGGTAATTCTTCAGCGAAATTAATTGAAAGTGTTCAATTGCAGCACGGCATTTGTAATCTTCACGAACATCGACTTCACTTTTGTGTCGTATCAAGCAATCCATCATATCCCCATCATCCCTTCCATTTCTCCACTCAGCCTTGAAAGTAAAAGACACGTCACAAATTCTTAACCATCTATATTATTATTAAGTTTATTTTACTTTGAGAACAGTAAAAAGAACTTACTTCACAATGTCTCTGCATTACTGTACTACAAGCAGAACTAATGACAGGATTGAGATACACATGAGCTGCTTGGTTTTCAGTAATGTTGCCAATCACTTCCCGACAATGAAGATGAAGCCTAGAAACACAGATAAGTTGAAACAAAAAAAAAGACGAGATATTTTCGCAAAGATAACGACAACTTACTTGTCCAAATTATCCTGAAGGCATAATGTTTCTTGACCTTTTCCAGTTTTATCAAAGCAAAACATAGCCAAATCATCTAAACAAGCTTGCTCCACGTCAGGTAAAAGATCTACACTCAAAGCTCTTTGCTTCATAACTCTTTTAACCTCCTCCAAACAATGTCTTTTTAACTGAAAGCAGACCAGCATATTTAAAAGTAACAAAAAAAAAAATGAAGGACGATATTAACAGAATTAAATTATACCGTTTCTTTTTCTTGGTATGCGTAACGATAGAGGCAAGGAAGAACCAGGGGTCCACGCTCTGGGTCCATTTGACCAGAATCATCATACCAAACTTTCTTGGCATGGCAAAAATGTACAGCATCATCACGGCACTGCTTGAAAAGCTGAGGATCTAATTTAAAGTCTCTTGCAACAAAATACTGTATCTGGAGAAGAGCAGACTCACAAGACTCTGTCATGAAGTTTGTGCCTAGCTTGTCCATCAAGCAGTTCATGACCCTACAAAAACAACAACACCAGTAAAATACCAATATAAATGAAACAGTCTTTTCTAGATAAATAAGAAATCTGCAAACCTTGCATCTCCTCCTCGAACTTCTTGACATGCAACATCAACAACTGGTTTACAAGCCTCTCGCAACACAGGGTCAACCCTCCAATCTTCACCAGCATCAACCTCCTTTACTAAACCTTCAAGCTACGGATACAAATAATTTTATTTGTAAAGTTTTCATTATCAAAATATATTTTGAAATTTGCCCAATGCAAACAACATTAAATTGAAGCAAACTTACTGCACGTTGGCACTGGGAAGAAACTTTCTCTCTTCTTCGTTTGGGTCTGGCATGTTCCATCAAACAATGAATGGTTTTCCCACCAGCTTCAAGACTATTGCAGTACTTTTTAATGTCATCTGAGCAGCCAGATACAATTTCAGGAGATAGCCTATAATCCTCCATTAACATTTTACGGTGCTCCATCATTTCCAATTGACAATCTCTTGAAACTTTGGAACCTATAGAAGAGAGAAACGTAGGTAAGCCATAAGAATGGACTAGAGAAGTTACCCAAAGTACATTTCATAAAAAAGTACAATAAACAAACCATTCCGAATTACTCCTTCAAGACAAAGAAGAATTTTTGCAAGTCGAATATCTTTGTCATCAGGTGGAGACCTTCGACAATGATATTGACGAATATCTTCTTTGCAAGCTCTTACTAAACCTCGACTCACGCGATAGTTCTGAGTTATTAATTTTTGATACTTCCCAAGTTGGTCATGGCACTGTAATGAATATGAAAACAGTTAGAAGTTATTATGGATTTAATAATACAATAGAATAGTAGCCTGACAGAAATAAATTTTACTTGGAGACAAACTTACAGCTTGAGACATAGCATTGTCCATTCTAAAGTGGACTAGGCATTTATATACTTTTCCTGAACCAGGCTGGATATCTGGACAGAATCTTTTCTGGTCATCCGAACAAGCAGCACTCAACTTGTGATCCAGACGAATATTGTCTGCTTGAAAGACTGACAAATGGAGCACCTCATGTCTGCATGTGTCAGACAAGTTATCAATAACTGCTTGCAAGCAATTGAGGGTACCTTGTTGTGATGGTAACTGTCACAGAAACATAATTTGTAACATAAACATACATTAAAGTCCATAAATAACTTACATAAGACACCCACCTCAGAACCCGTCTGCAGGCGACCACACTTTTGTAGTTCTATATCAGTGGCACAATCTGTCATAAACTTTGAGAAAACCCTGAAATCACTGAAGGCTATGCGCTCTATTCGTTGGAAGTAAGACTGGCATTCTGGGTTTAAGTCTTCAAGGTGATCAAGGACACATGACAACAACTGTCCTGTCTGGTCAGTGTGAGGACAATTTAGCTTGGGCACGTCTTGTTTACAAATTGGTTGAGCACTTTCCTCTAAGTTTGTGTTATCCATGAGCTTTGTTACTCTGTTGTGAACAACGTGCTGACAGCCTAGTGAAACTGACACTGAAACCTGAAATAAATAATAAAGGATATAATGAAAGACAAAACAAATAACTTAATGTAAACGATACCAAAAATGTTTACAGTGAATATGTTATCATACCTTAGACAGGAAACATTCTAAAACAGTTAGATCGTCTGCACCACGCGAAAGTTTGGGACATATCTTCTTCAAATCTTCCTCACAGTCCGTACTCATTGACAGAGGGACAACAGGAGGAATAACATTTCTGATGACACGCCTAGCGGAGGTTAGAGAGCCAAGTGACTTCGTGGGAATCATTTCTGATTCCTGATTTTCGAACAGCCATTGTAGTTGATTTGAAGATTGGCTCAAGTCATTAGAAAGTGCTGTACTTCCATAGATCGAAAATACTACGTAAATAATAATGACAAAACTTGACAGGAGGTAGCCGGCCATATTGCATAGGCCATATAGTTGGGTTGGGAGACTTCAGGTCTTCAGGTCTTTCGATAACTCCACAGTTGTTTATTTTTGTTAAAGAGCGAGTCCATAAAGCGCGGATGGAATGGGCAAAAAGATACGGCGTCTGCTCTTGCAGGCTAATGTAGACAAAACATGTTCAGTCTGTTTATATACACGAAGACAATGATTTAAATTTATCTATGAACGTTCTATTTAGAGCAGACATCCAATCAAATTAATTTTCGTAATAGAGCCTCGACAGATATTTCGTTTCATTCGGCGTGCATTCGGCGGCACTCGATCAGTCCTTTCGTTTACTGTTCAATATATTGTTCTTTCATTCAATATAACCAACAAATTAACCACAAACAAACGTAGAGCGTGTGAGTGACAAGGTGGACCAACAACTAGTGTGAATTTCTCTTACGAGACACTACTTCAACATAAGGGAGATCCCCTTCGTTTTTAGGTTGGCATTAGTTGTTACTAGTGCTGTGCAGATAGACAGACGGACAGACAGCAGCTGTTCGAAAGATTACCATAATATCCCTAATAAGGTGTCGATTTAGTATGTCAAGGAAAAAGACAAAACCTCTTACACTGTGATTAACTCTAATGTTGGAAAAATTATCACTATGGCTATATCTACCAAACGATCGTGGAAACTTCGTAAGTTTAAAGCAACCTTCACTCTATGCTCTGATTCATCAACATGCCAAAACCTTTTCTGTCATAGGTTATGCGTTTTGTTTGTTTGGAGCTCTAAATAGAGGTCTTTGTTAATTTTTCTTATTTACTGTCTTTATTATTTTAATGATGATGAGCACCGTTAACAGTTGTTACTTTTCACCTGTGTGGTTGTTAAGTTTTGTTTTACGTTTCCTGAGATTGATTTGGTTAGGTTTGGTAGATAGCCCACTCTTAAAGTCATTATCATCTTTTCAGGAACTGTTCTTTTCTGCTATTTATTACCCTGTGACTAATTATGACCTTTCTTCACTGTCAAAATAAATTCCCACAGGCTTTAGAATAGTATCTTTTCATTTAGGTCTGACATTTTCATGAAACGTCCTTGTGCGGCTTTAAATTTGATTTCTATTGGTCATTGGCTATTGGCTAATGACTTTAGAACCTTGAATTACTAATTTCCAACAATTTGAGTACTATGCGAATATTAACTCAAACAATTTTTACAGAGGACTTTGTTGCTCATTCGGCCAATGTCAATTGCCTTGCCCTGGGACACAAGTCTGGGAGAGTCTTAGTTACTGGAGGAGATGATAAAAAAGTGAATTTATGGGCAGTAGGGAAACACAACTGTATCATTGTAAGTAAAAACAATGAAATCTTGTGTTGTACACATTATTGTATACATGAGCCAATGTTGAATGTTAATATTTCCAGAGCCTCAGTGGACATACTACACCAGTTGAATGTGTGCGGTTTGGTCACACTGAAGAGCTGGTTTGTGCTGGATCACAGACAGGAGCACTCAAAATATGGGATTTAGAAGCAGTAAAAATTGTTCGCACCTTAACTGGGCATAAATCTGCCATACGATGTATGGATTTTCATCCATACGGGGATTTTCTTGCCTCAGGTTCTACAGATGCCAGTATCAAGGTAACTGATCTAAGTTAATTCTCTTTTGTGCCTAGTTTTCATAAATATACTTATAACTGCTGGTTCCTGCAGCTCTGGGACACAAGGCGGAAAGGTTGTATTTTCACATATGGACACAAGCTTACAGTTAACAGCCTCAAATTTAGTCCTGATGGGCAGTGGATTGCATCTGGAGGAGATGAAGGCATTGTCAGGGTAATTATATTTGTTTTTGTATATTGGAGTCATTCTTACACATTTTTGTCCATTAATTTTCTCTATTCTCTTACAGTTATGGGATATACGTGCTGGCAAGGTCTTAAAAGAGTTTGCAGAGCATTCTGGAGCCGTAACTTCAGTGGAATTCCACCCTCATGAATTTCTGCTAGCATCAGGTAGTGTTGGTCGGTCTGTAAATTTTTGGGATTTGGAGAACTTTCAATTAGTATCCTCGACTGAAAGGGATGGAGGCTCTGTGAGGTAAGATCTTCTCAACTTTTATGTTTTTAGCCATTGTGCTCTATACTTACATGTAAATTTCTTCTATTCTTCTGTAAAGGTGTCTATACTTCAGTCAAGGTGGAGAATGTTTATTTGCTGCCTCCCCAGAATGTTTGCGTGTTTGTGGATGGGAACCATCCAGAATTTATGACTCATTAGCAGTTGGTTGGGGTAAAGTTGCTGATATTGCAACAGCTCAGAATCAATTGGTAAATATCTTTACCCATATTGCATAATATATTTTTAGTATAAAATAATTTTTTGTTTTTACAACTATAAACTATAACTTTGATTATATGTAACCTTATATTTTTGTAGATTGGTGCATCTTTTCACATGATGAATGTTGCACTATTTGTGGTTGATCTCAAAAAGGTGCAGCCTTTTGGTGGCCCAGTTATTAATCCAAATGATTCCATTAATTCTTCACCTTTCCGCCACGGGCAAAGTGCTAGGAAAAGCTTTAGCAAGGAAACACAGCTTAACTTGTCAAAACCTCCGTAAGTATATTTTTACCCCTTTGACATGAAATTCATTATTGCCTTGACTGTGTTCAAAAACGAATATTTCTGTTCAGAATGAGTGTTCGTACCATTGAAGAAAATGACCGATCTGAAACAGATCCTGAAGATGAAACAGTCTCTCACATACTTGATGTAAAGGATTATGAGGCAATTTTTTTGCCTAATAGATCATGTGAGTTGATTTTTTTGTTCTACCTTTAGCATGGTTGCATAATTATGGGAAGCCAATTTTGTTTGTAGTGAAAGGTTTTTGTGTAATAGTGTAGCAGTACTTAGTGTTTTACAGCTTGATGTTTGTTCTTTTCCTTTGTAATTGTTGAAATTACAGTGTTATCACTGCAAAATAAGAAAACTATCACTGCAACATTTTGATTCAAATTTAAACATATCTTTGATTTTTTTAATGATTGAAGGATAGTTTTGGCTATCGTATGTTAGAAATGTTGGGCACTTTCAACTCCAATGTAGTCTTTAGAAAGCACACTTTGAAATGTTGCAGTGAATCGCAGCCCTCCTCCTATTCCTTTCCCTGCTCCTGCTGATGATGGTGAGTAAAGTTGTTTAAAAAGCAGGGTTTGAAGCTTTTAGATTTCTATTTTTTATAAGTTTGTCGTTTTTGTTTTCACTTTCATTTTCTGGGTGAGAATTTATTTAAATAACTTTAATACTATATTCGTTATTAAACTGCCTGTTGTAGAGAAATTGTGTAACCCAAGCTTTTGCTCATAGTTGTTTAAACTTTCTGTGAAACCTGCATGATTATATCACCGTGATTATATCCTACACTAACCTTTACTTATCTCTGTTGCTTTAAAAACAGCTTCACATAGTTCTCCTAGTCATTCAAACGCATCATCATTAACCATACAAGAAGGTAACATAATTTCTTAAGCTAACAATTATTTTCAGTTGCATCTTCATTAAAAATCTATCTAAAAGCGTTATCACTCATTTCTGTACATATTTTTTTATACTATAGGTGTTGGAATGCCTCAAATAATACAACCATTGTTGCCAATGAAAGTATCTCGCAATTCCCCAGAACCATCTGAGCAGATGTTTAGTGGAACTGGAGACTGCGTGGACCCCAATGACTCACCTGATTATTATCAACCTCAACCTATTCATTTATTACCTGAAGATGATTCATATGGTGACCAAATTCCAGAACCTCAACCAAGACAGCGAAGGTAGGTTCATCAATCCATCCATGTCCTGATTGTTGTCTGGAAGTGTTAGTCATGCCAATATTTCATTACAGGCCATCTCAGCTCTCTCCAGTTAGACAGAGGAGTGAAAAGCATAGTCCTGTTCTTTCTGGCTCTGCCCGTTCAAAGGGTAGCTCTCCTACTCCTGTAGCTTCACACAGAATGAGTTACAGAGAGGATACTCACTCTTCATTTGACAATGATTTCCCTGTCAAGTAAGTAATTATAGGTGTCATTGGTGTATGATTATTGGTAGTCGATAGTGCTTGGGCAGTAAGACCCATACTTTCTGTTTCAGACTAAGCAGTATACGCCATAGTCCTTCAGAACCTGCCCTAAACCGACCGAATGCTGGACATTCAAGATCAAGTTCTTTAAGCCGGAACAGTGTTGTAGCAAATAGCTCTAGCACTGGTAATATTAAACAAATAGGCTCCTCAAATGACGTTAATAGCTCAACTAGTGGCTTTCACATTAAACATTCCATCACCCCAGGGTTTAATCTTGGCACTGATGTCTCAGTGTCTTATCTGGGGAAGAACTCCACCACTACCCCCTCCTCCAAAGGTGCACTTCCTATGGTAGCACCTCGTACTAAAGTAGCCACAGAAGAAAATTTACGAAGGCAGGAAAAAACAAGTGTTGATGTCCTTGAAAGACAGAGGCCACCAGTTGATGATGAAATTGACGATATCATTCCAATATCCATGGATAAGCCCTCTAACCTCGATTTAGAGGATTTTCTGCCTGTAGGTTAAAATTGAATTTCCAGTGCTGAAAATTTGGCAGCAAAAAATGTCTCCTGCTTTCTATCTTTTTACTCTCCATCTCTTGTTTTTTGTTTTTTCAGAACCGCCTTCAAAGATCTGTTAACTTTTATCAACAGCACCAGTACTTAGATATGTCAGAGGCAGAAGTTTTGTCATCCATCATGCGTGGACATGAATCTATGATGACAGTTATGAATGGTCGACACAGAAGTTTACAAATAATTTATTCTCTCTGGCATAATAAAGACTTAAAGGTAGTGTTTGAATTTGAAGAATTACTGTGGTGACAGCATCTTTTTTCGTATCTTAATCTTTAATTTTGCAGGTGGCAGTTGATACTGCTTTGGAAATGAATGATCTTGCTATTGTTGTTGATTTACTTGGCATCTTGACTCTTCGACCGTATGTTAATTCTTGGTCTGCTAATTTTTTTTATTGTTTCTTTTCACCATGTATAACCCTTAATTTTATTTTCTAGGTCTATATGGAACTTAGATCTTTGTGTTTCCTTACTTGACCCTATTCATGAACTACTGCAGAGCAAATATGAAATGTTAGTTGTTTAACTTCCAAATATTTAAGACTCATGTAGTTTTCTTCAAACTTTCTCTGTTCATATTTTAATGTTTGTTCCAGGTACATGACAGTAGGATGCAATACTCTCCGACTCATTCTAAGGAATTTTTCTTCTTTGATCAAAACTAACGTTCAAGCGCCTATCCACACAGTTGGAGTTGATATATCTCGAGAAGAAAGGTAAGAAGAACGCTAAAATTACTCAGTGATTCATTATTAGTTAATAATTGTTTTTTAATCTGGATTATTTTGTTTTCCCTCTTGCAGGTATAATAAATGTATGAAGTGTTATGAAAGTTTACAGTCAATACGCTCTTTTTTGTTAAAAAGACAGACTGTTCAAGGAAAATTAGGACACACATTCCGAGAAATAACTATACTAATGCAATCCTTGGACAACTGAAAATAATTTTCTGTCAATTAATGACTGCTGGTAATATTTCTATCTCAAAATATTAAAACCAAAATCATTGGGAAACCTTAGATAATATTTTCAGGTAGCCCATCTAAATTGTCAGGTTTGTACTATTAACAGTTCTAACAAAGTAATTAAACCAAACCAAAACATAGGAAATACTTTGTGATTAGTTTACAATGTATTAGTCCACCTGGTTCTGCGTGTATTTCTAAATTGTAGCCCATGGTGTTCATTCAACTGTTCTTATATAGATCAAAATTAAATTTGTCATTCACTCTGAATTGTGAAATAAGTATTGTGATATATAATATTAGACCCATTAGGCAGTGAACATGTACAGATGTTAATTATTGTGGTGTATGCTGTGTATAAGTTTGTGTGAGTGAGTGGGTGAGTGAGTGAGAGTATAATTTATTCCAACATCTTACAATATCTAGAAAAGACCTTTTACCAGTTCTTTTCTTTGGGTGGTGATATTGTGAGAACATGTCTAGCTGTGTTATTGAATTGGACCTAAATATTTTTTTTTATTCTATCTATCTATCTGTCCGAGTATATTTCTGGAAACAAAATTTCTGCGACTGCTTACTGTTTTTCCTGTATGTCAGTTCTGAAACAGAAAGTGGCTACCTCATTCATGACAAGTTCCTAATTATGCATACTAGGTCTTAATACCATACATCTTTCAACTTATCAGTTTCTTACATAAAGCACAATATGTGTTGTTAGAAGACCAAATTTGATTGAAAATTAAAAGCGACTAGTTAAAAGCCTGTAAGCTTTTGAACTTTCTAATGTCTACCTCTTGTTTTTTTCTTAACGGATCCTGTTTTATCTGCTCAATTTTGACCAATCTAATATTCTAATCGAGAAGATACATTGTGATGTATTGTGCCTCGTATGATTATCACAAGATGGGAAGTGTTTTTGCTCATCTCATTCATTAGGTTTGAAAAAGTGATCAGAGTTGTGCTGTTTATGTCAACATTTATTTCTTAAGAAAAAATCAATAGAATCTTGATAAAATATAGAAGTCAAATGGTGAGCAACAAGCACAAGCATGTAGTGGGCACAAGGCTTGTGATTCTACTTGTAGAGTGCCCAAAGTTACACATATGAAAAAAAAATCAACTTTATTTTGTACATCCATACTCTATACTTACTTAAGCACTATTGTTGCAGACACCAGCTGTGCAACATCATCTTCTGTTCCTGCACAGTTATTCAGTGTAGTATAATACACCGAGAAATGATTGTGAATTCGTCATTTATTTTGTGCGTAGCTAATTTAAATACAAGTGGAGTGGTTTTCATTCTTGTGCTTTGTCTGAGAGGCAATAATATTGAACAACTACTACATAGGCTTTGTAAGTAATTGTCTAGATTTTCAGTCTATGTTTAGCAATTGAAAATCAAAATATAACATTCAACCATTGTGCCTTAAACAATAGTAACCAGTTTATGGTAATGCTTGGTAATGCTCCTTCATGGCTGTACCTTTTCCACATTAAAATGCTTTTTAGTTAACTGATTTAATTTAATTTTTTGTTCAACTTTAAAATTGATGTTGTCAACAAATTCTTATTGTTTTAATGAAAGTATTGTTAAAAATTGAACAAGGCTGTGAAAAGCCATTTATAGTGACTTAAAAACTAAGATGTGCTACAGATTAAGTTGTAGTATTTCATTGACTCTATCTCTCTTTTCAGCAATCTAAATGCTCTAAAGAAGATGTTTTATTTTCCTCTGTAGGTGTTAGACCTTTTTGACAAGTTAGTTTTTACTCTTTTAAAGGCAAATTAAAAATCAATTTTAGGTCCATAGATCTTGGGAAAAGTGCCCTGAAGGTTGTGAATTAACCAGCACATTGCAGGGCTAGTCATACCAAAAGGAACTCGCTTTACCATTTAAAGTGGCACTCACGCTAGTTGGAAGTTTTCTGCTCTGGAATAAACGTAAAGGTGACTCTCAATGTCTCACAATCTAAAGTGATCTGCAACTATTTTGTACTGATTTTGTGAACTTATGTTTAATTTAAGGAAGCACTAATTTATTTAGATTGTAACAAGTTTTCTTGTAGGTAACCATCTGTGTTTAAAGATTGGCCGTGATGTTCAGCGGAAGGCCTCACAGGGTAATGTCCTAACTTGTGATAGTATGCTATTTAAACAATCAGCCTAACATTTCACAATTAATAAATACAAATGTGTAAATACCCAATATAAAGGTAATTACAAAGATGGCATTTAACTTCCGTCCAATTTTTTGGTTGTGGGGGAAACCTTGTAATCTATTTCTTTGACTGATGTTACATATTAGTTCCCACCCATAAGTGTTGTCCTTTGGAGATCATTTACTGATCACATTCATGTAACAGTTTCTGTGTTGTATCATATCAGTTACTGCATGTCTTACTGTTTTGAGATTCACTCAATTCTTATTACCTTGAGTGGTATCTACTATTTCTACGATTGGTGGTTATTTTTTAAAATTAATATGTACAGTGTCAGGTGAGAGCAAGCTCATCTAATTTTTTATACATCTATCAGTTCAAAGTGTTGAACCATTTCTTGCCAAGCCTGAAACAGTGAATCGAATTTTGTAGTGCCATCTTAATTAGAGTGTCAATCAGTAAGACACATATTCATCAATGAAAGATATTCCCCTTCTATCTGGAAATGTTGTTATTTCCAGGATCCTTTCTAATCCACCTGCAATCAAAATTATTTTAACAGTTTCATAGATATTTATTTGATTACTAGGTTGTTTTCCTGACAGTATTTATATTGTGCTTTGAATTCCTAAACCAGAATCATATGTTTTGTAACAAGAATAAAATCCTTCGAAAGGTGAACATCTCCTTTGTATTACCTTCTTAACGCAACTACTGCCAACCGCCATCACCCTCCTATTTTTATGGATGAACTGCGTGCTCGGGGCTGTCAAAATAAGATAGGGTTTGGCCGACCGACCGACCGTCAACCTCGGAACGACCAGGACAACTGAAATATCGTGTTCGGGGGTTTTCTCGCACGCTGAGTCCAAATCTGGTAGTGCCGATGTCGTCCGGATCGGGCCCCCGGGGACGTCGTTTGGGACCTCCCGAGCACGCCGATGACACTCCCACGACAAATACGATTCGGCTCCAAACGTCGTTTACCTGGGCTGGTGCATATTTTTTAAAAGTCGCCAAATATAATTCTCATTAATAGCAAATCGCCCATAATAGTTTATTATCCTGATCATTTCATTATTGTCACATGGCACCTCACATGGCACTTCCCTGGCCGCCGGGAGCCACACAACGATGCACGGGACGGGAAGCATCCTCAAAGGATCACATCCTAAACGAGGCGAGATTGCCTACCCCAGGAAAGAATCACATCCCGCGACCACGATATGTTTGTGAGTATGCCGTAATTATTGCTCTCCCGGCCCCCTTTGCCGCTGTGCCGCGTCCCCTACCCCTCTCCTCCTCCCCACCCCCACCCCCACCGCGCATTTCCCGCGCCTTTATGGAAACGTAAACAACCAGTGAAAATCAGCGTTTCTGCCAAATACCGACAATACCTACTCATATAATTATTGAGCATAGGATTTTAACCAGAATTTTAGAGTGGACATCGCCGCTGTTCGATATTAATCATAAGGTATAGTGCTTGTTGTTTCCTGTCCGGAATATTGAATTGTTCCATTCCGGTTATTGTTGTAGGAGGTTATGCTCCTTTGGCTCAATTTTTCCACGCACAATTAAGTTGTAAGTTATTTTTTGAGGCCGAGTAAATGGTGCCCGTGATGTATATAGTTTGGCTCACTGTCAGCTTTGTTGAAAAGGTGTTGAATGGGTAGACTCCTCCAATCCATAGAGTATGTTAAATACTGTTGCAGGTCACTTATGCAAATGGGTGAACTGCCAGTGTTTTATCACATATCATATATTTTACTCTATTTTATTCTCGTGGAACATAAAACTTTATTACTTTCTGATTGGGGTGCAAACCGAGTGGTACTATTTGCGTAATCCCCCATAAACAATCAATCAATGTGCGTTGCAGATAATTTGCAGCTGCCCCTTTCGTACTTAATGTTTAATCCAGTGCCAAAATTCGTTATTTGAAAGACCATAGTCATTTAGAGACGCATGGGGGGAGAGGCATTTAAAAGTGTATTGTATGAGTTAATTATATGTAATTAAAAGTTGATGAGCGCTAAAAGTACCTTTTCATATGATTGCAGGAACTCGGCCCAGAAATGTTCTTGACATGAGCAAGAGAAGTCTATGGAGTCATTTTACCCAAAAGAATAGGTGAGTTGACATGACAGTAACCGCTAACGCTGGTCCAATTTGTCTCCACTAAGAGGAGCTT